TTATCTGTACATATAATTTATGTTGTACCAGCTTCCATGGCAGCTAGTTCTTTAAAATATTCCACTCCTTTAGCACTTAGGTGTTTTCATTTGATCACCCTACTTTCAGGTATGGATACTTCCATAATTTTGTTCATTTTAAATAACAGTCTTTGAAAAGAGAAAAAAGTCGTACCCCCTCTCCCCCTGCCCTGCCACTGTCTGTTTCTTTTTCTCTGGGTTGCAATAACCAAGGAGGAATTATGTCTATTTTAATAGTACATATAGAGGTAGATACAGATTTTGTGGAGTCTGAGGCTTATACAATTTTGGGCTTCTCTTTTTTTTAAAAAAAGTAAATATTATGAATACCACAATGGTAAGGACTCTCTCTGGGCCTTGGGTAAGTAAGGGGCCCCAGAGGCAAAGTGTCATTAGCAGCACCCCATGAGAATACATTCATGAGGAGAACAAACCTAGTTAACTTTTTAAGGTTGGGGTTAGGGGTTATTCTTGGCCATTTTGCTTTAATTTGAAAATCAGTCTGACCTTTAGAAAAGCTATCTGGCTTTTCTAACTGATTTTTATTTTAAAATGATTTATTCAACATTAACTTGAGAGATGCTATGGTTTGAATGTATGTATTCCACTAAAATTTATAAGAAGCTCAGTGAGCAAAATTCTTTCTCCTTCAAACACTCTAGAAGCTACAGAAAAGAATAGTTGAGTCTTACATTGATATGGAATACAGTATTCTACCCAATGCAGAAACCTCATCTATACAATCTCAGAAAGTGATAATCTATCCCTTTATTCATAATATTCAAAATTCCATTTCCTTAATTCACAAAATTCAAAAAACATTTGAGCCAGCACTTTGGGAGGCCAAGCCAGCACTTTTGGGAGGGCGGATCATGAGGTCAGGAGATCGAGACCATCCTGGCTAACACAGTGAAACCCCGTCTCTGCTAAAACTACAAAAAATTAGCTGGGCGTGGTGGCGGGCGCCTGTACTCCCAGCTACTCGGGAAGCTGAAGCAGGAGAATTGTGTGAACCCAGGAGGCGCAGCTTGCAGAGAGCCGAGATCGCGCCACTGCACTCCAGCGTGGGCGATGAGCAAGACTCCATCTCAAACAAACAAACAAACAAACAAAAAAACATTTGAGGATCTACCACACATGAAGCAGTCTTCTGTGTGTCAACGTACAGTGGTGAACGTGAAGTACACAATTTCCTTCTCATAAAGATTTCATTCTAGTGAGGGGAAGAAAAAAGAGAAAGAAGAAAAGTCAAAGTAATCTCGGATCATGATAAATGCTCTGAAGGAAGGTTAGGAGATACCCTTAGAGGAAGTGGTATGTAGACTGAAAAATGAGAATATGAAATATCATGGGAAGAAGTTTCAAAGCCAATGTGATAGCCCTGAGACAGGAATGAGCTTCACATATTAAAGTGAGGGGATGTCAGGGAGCCACAGATCAAGTCCCCCCTGGAGCATCAGAAGTGTGTGGGGGCATGTGATAGCAAGGGGGTGTTGCTGGTATTTTGTGAACAGGGGCCAGGAATGCTAAATAACTAGAAGTATTTGAAAAACTCCTGCTCCAGAAGGAATTTTCCCAACCAAAATACCAGCACCTCCGTCGAGAAGCCCTGACAGAGAATAGTAAGTATAGAGAAATTGATAGGCAGGAGGTCAGAGAGCCAGACAGGAGACACATTAGATAGGGCTTCAGGGCCACAGTAAAAGTTTAGATTGTTATCAGAAGTGTGACAGAAATCATTAAATCCTAGTAAGCACAGAAATGTTTTTGTAAGTTCTGGGGATAGGAACACACTGCCTTCATACAGCATTCTATTCCACCTTGGAGTCCTAAATTTTTGTTTGTTAGTTTTTATTTTTTATAGAGATACGGTCTTGCAATATCGCTAGGCTAGTCTTAAATTTGGAGTCTGGATTCTTAGAGGATTCCTTTTATAATTAGTTTAAGTTGGACTCTGTAATTTCCTCTTAAATCTCTAGTACCACAAAAGAAAGCCCCCCAAAATGTCTTTTCCATCTTTGTTTTCATTGCCACCTTCATACTCCACTACATCCCAGTCTCCAGGACCAGTTCTATGCTTAGTAGAGGGAATTCCACAATTCACTCCATTCATAGTGTTACCGAAACACCAGGGGTTCCATCTAGGTCTTGCTGCTTGCCACACAGACAGCCAATCACTGAGACAAAATAAGTATTGCCAAGGAGGAAGACTATTTGGATGCTGCAGCCAAGGAGATGGGAGATCAGTCTCAAATCCATTTCCTCAACCAACTAGAATTAGGGGTTTATATAGCAGGGAAGGATGGTAATCACATGCAGGTTAACAGAAATTAGGGTGGGGTAATGATATCGTGAGGGATGAAGGGTCTGGTTTCTCATTATCTGGATGTGGTGGTCTGGTGAGTGTCAGTTCCTTGATACCATCTGGGAGGCCTGAGGGCTGGTTTCCTGAAGAAGGAACTCAGATAAGACAAATATAATTTTATCAAGTTTTAAGACTGGGAGACTCAATTTCTATGTTTATTCAAAAAAGAAAAAAACCCATAAACATCAGTTCTATGGGACAACTGGACAGGTTCCAACAGGTCCGTGTCTCAAGTGAAAATGGGATGTTTTTCCTACTTCCTTGTTTCCTTCTTTTCCTCCTTTGCTGTCCCTACTGCTTAGTCACTGCCTGCTAGAACTCAGTCCCCACATTCTATTCCAGATGACTACTTCTACCTGAATTGAGGGTTCACAATTGACAACTGTCAGGAACCCTAATTCTCCTAACAGTAGACCCTACTTAGTTTTGGTTTTACTTTCAGCATTCGAGTCCTGTCCCTGAACCGCAGACCCGTAGCAGATGTTCTGTTACTTCCGGGCAGACTTTCCTAATACCCACCATATGACTACCTGGCTGCAGATCCACATATCACCTTGTTGCCAGACATGTCTGTATTCATGCTGTGCCCATCTGCTGAGACACCCAGAAGGGAAGCAGGCTGTCGGTAACACGAGCAGTGATCTGGGAGTCAAACCCAGGTGTTACTTCTAATACAACAGTTTACTAACCGTAGAAATTTTCTAAAATCTCTTAGAGCTTTGGTTTTCTAAAGTGGTGACGATGGTGATAATACCTCCCTCCAAGCTCTGTAATAAATGAACATGATGTAGGCGTTCCGATGTAACTAATGTTATCATGTTTATTTATAATTGCTGGACCTCCCTAATCAAAGCCAAAAGCTGCCACTTATCACAAGGTACATTGGATTCTGTGACCTCACTGTCCTTTTTCTTCCTAAACCTCTGCTGCATGCTATTGAGTGTGCCCATTTATGGTTCTTGTCCCCTGTCTTTGAATATGTACGTGAGCTTTAGGCCAGGATTCAATAGCCTCGCTACTGAGTTAACCAAGAAACAAAAGACTATTGAGCAGGAAAGGGTGGGTGTACACAGAAAGAGGTAGATGCTTAGAGGTATTCTTGGAATGCTAAAAAGGTAGAGCAATCGCTGAGGGTAAAGCTAAATGGGGGGTTGAGAAGGAGAAAATAGCAGGGAGTGGGAAGCGAGAACAAAGCAACTCTTATCCTCAATTATCCCGGCAGTTCTGGGCTTGGCTACATTAGCAAGATCCTTGTTTAGATCCTCATTTTGCTTTGGCTATAGAGGCCTCTTCTGGTGGGATTTCAGGGAATTTTATAACCCATCGTCCCACCCCTCTCTCCTGTGGTTTTAACTGATGTGGAGGAAGGGAACTATGCAGTGAAATTAGGTTCTTTCGCTATAACACAGCTGCTTTTCTTCATAGAGATTTACTTTTGACAAGTAATTTATATTGCATTCAATTACTATGGCATACTACTGGGCGCTAGGGGAGGAAGGAATTGGAGACAAGATTGCTTGGGAGTGTTTTAATGTAGTTTGTTGTAACAGGTGGCCTGAAGAACTGCTGATTTGAAGCTATGCCACAGCTGTGCTTAGCTGGCTTGACTGATGCAGAAGCCTAACTGAGCCTGGACCGGGGTCAACCCAGGTGCACCCAGTGAACAGCTGTCTCTTTTTTAATTAGGGGAAGGAAGTGAGCACAGATTTGAAAAATAATATTATAAGAACCAGGGTGCAAAGGGATGATTTACTTCCACTTCATTTTATTATTTGTTATAAATGGTTTATAAAAACACACTGAGTGAATTTAATAATGTCTCTTTGCAGGATTTTCCCCAGTGTCGCTGACTAGTGCTTCTCATACTTTAATGTGCATACAAGTCACCTGGGGATCTTGTTAAAATGCAGCTTCTGATTCAGTAGTTTTGGAGTGAGCCAAAGATTCTGCATTTCTAACAAGCTCCAGGTAACACCAGGTCTGCTGTTTCAGGAGGACACTCTGAGTAGAAGACTGTCAACTACACAGCACTTCAGAATACTAGATTTGTAAAAAAAAAAAAAAAACACAGTTACACTGTCAAATGTTAGAAATGGTCTCTTAGTAGGGGATGAACGTAAACTACATACTGATGAGGTCTTAAAGGAAATTGAATTACTAAAAAAGTCATTAATATTAATTATTTTAAATTGCTCATTTGACCTCTTAGATTCTGATCACACACCACAGGCTTAAAAGTACTCTTTACAATTATATCAGAAATAGTTCAATGTATGAATATTTCAATCTCTGAGAAATTTAACTATAGCTTCTTATTACTGTGACCACACAACCAAGGAACCAAGAGATTCTTTAAATTACTGAGTTCAGCAATTCATTTACTTGCAAATTTTAGAAAGGCTTTTTCCTTCTCTTTGGCAAGTATTTAATTCAGAGGCATCATAAGTCAGGGGAAATTAAGGCAAATGGTACATTTTTTGCATTGCACGGCAAAAACAGGATGCTGAGAAAGGGTGCAAAGAAAGATGATTCATCACATGTGCCATAGCTCATAGAAAAGGGATATTTGGGAATATTAAATTGATGTGTTTTCAGTCTTCTCCCTGCCCCCTAGTAGCAATTCCACCATCATCGCTTTGGAAAAAGAAGAAAAGGGGAAAGGCCTATGAGGAAGCAGCAGGTTCCCATGAGATGGGAGAAGGAGCATGTGAGCTTGGCACTGCAGCAGTAGGAAGACGGCAGGAGGAAGAAAAAGAAGACATCGCCCTGTCCTCCCTTCGACTAATGCAGGCAACAAGGTAAAGAGATTGGGATTCAAGCCAAAAGTTGGTGTCCTCTGACCCCATTTCTGTCTGAGATATTGAGGTGATGATTTAAAAGCTTTCCTCACCTCAGCACCGGAGTGACCACTGCAGAATGAGAGAGGTGGTGCATCACTGTCGCTTAGAGATGGAAGGCCCGGGCCTTACTGGAGTCTTTCTGGAGGTGGCTTCAGCTCCCGAAAGCATGGACAATAGTTTCATGTTTCCACATGCATTGTGGAGCAATGCAGAAGGGAGGATAGTGCTGGCTGGCAAGGGAGGTGTCTGCTATGAAAGTCAAATGGCACAGACACTGGAAGGTGCTGGAATGACCAGAGTTGGGAATCAGATCAGTTGCAAGCAGATTTCAGGGAGGTCCACAAGCCCATCAAAGGTAAGCTGAGGCTGAGTCTTCAGGGAGGTCCTCTGGGTTATAACTGAGGCATGAGTAAAGAGATCTCCAGTTGACCTGAGCAGACAGGTAGAATGAGGGAAACTGCCACCACAAGAAGAGGAGGCAGTGCCAGGACCTGCTTATGGCTACTGGGGCCCCCATCATTATTCCCCAGCACCATCAGGCCAAATCACTTATACCTCCATACATCTCAACATCGTATGGGAAGAAAATATGAGTGAGGAAGTAACAATCTGAAATATTAGGACTTGATCTAAAAGAAACTGATTTACTTTAAGAGACCATATAAATTATTGAATTAGAATGACTAAATTTAGATATTTTATTCCCCCCTCTCACTAATTAGACAGAAGGGGTTTCTCAAAGGAGATAAAATCTTCTGTAGAAAATAGAGCTACAAGCCCTTTGCACAGCTTAATATAGTATGAGTTTAATTGGAAACCCTGATTCTCCAATAATAAATCACTATATTTCAGTCAGTCAGCTACCTCATTCTAAGCTGGAAACACCAAGGTTTTGCCTCCACTGTCTGCCATCACTCCTCCCCAGCTCTGCCCATCTGTGGGCTAAGTGCCTCTTGGGGCCTTGGCTCATTCATCATTAGGAACACATATCACCTCAAGCCTGGCACCCTGGCATGGTTTCCTGCAGCCTGTGCTCAGCCATTCTGAAGCTACTATTGGATTTGTCCTGGCTTTGAAAATTTGTGTGGACTAAATTTCTTGAGTCTGTTCAGGGAACAGAGTCAAAAAAGCAGGAGCTTCAGAAAGATACTTGGTGTTGGAGTCTGCTGCAGGCATCTATCACCTATCTGGCCATGAGCAAGCACTTTTCTATTCAAGCCTTCTTCTGTAAAGTGGAATTAACAGTACTTACTTTTGAGGCTACCGTATGGGTTAGCAATACTATATATGAGTTGATGAACATATTGATGAAGTTCAATAAATCAAGGCCATGTTATATTATTCTAGTTCCTTTTAACATGCCCAGTGCCCTGTAATTGCTTATTCACCTGCAACCGTGGACCTCTGCTAAGGACCTCTGATCCTCCCCTACAGAGAGAGCCTATTCTCTGTATTCCCAGCTGCCCACAGACATTCTTACTTCCTGAACAGGTGTCATGGATGCTCTGCCTTGACACTCAGACCTCCCTTCAGAACAGAAGGATGCATGTCTGGCTACTGGCAGACACTCTCAGCCCTCTCTGAGAATCCCCTCAGCCAAAGTCACAACCCCTTTCCCAGGGGCAGCCTGTATCCGAAGACTGATGGATACAGAAGAATACAGGCCAGTCCCATTGGCCCAAAGCAGGGAAATGCTGAGAGGTCATCCCAATCTCAGAGCCCCCCACAGCCCTGGCTGAGGGAAGCTTTGGGGGGCTCAGCCCAGTCCTGCTTCCTTGCTTTTTCCTGTCGATGTTGTGATGGTTAATTTTATGTGTCAACCTGACTGGGCTAAGGGATGCCCAGATAACAGGTAAAACATTATTTCTATTTCTCTAGAAAACCCTGAGTAATATAGACTTTGATCCTAAGAGCTCACCCTCACAAATATCCTGCATGCTGATCTCTGGCTCAGTGTCAGCTTCCTGGGGAACCTACTTGGTGAAAATAGGTCACCACATTCCACACTCAAAACCACTGACTTAGCTATTATTGTTAACGCTGTGCAGATATCCACACAAAATGTGTAAATGAACATTCATAACCCTCTTGGTCACTGTTTTTGGACCATCACTGTGGGTCATAGACAGTGTACTCCTCTTATTCTGGTCCTTATTTCCTAAGGGTCCTCCTCCACCTCCTACCAGCCAAACACATCCCAGAGAGGCCACTACTTACCCAGGAGCTTTAGTGTACTCATAACACTGTAGTGTTGGCTAACAGACACAGCCTTACCCTTCCTTTGATCCAGAATGAGAATCTGTAACGGCCACAAGGTTTTTACATCATTCTCTCCACCCTATGTGAATAAACAATATCCATAGGAAATTGTCAATTTCTCTGCACAGACTAAGCACCTGCTTGTATTATTACCCTGCTGTATACAAATGAACCATTTGAGGAAATGAGTAGAACAAATATGCTCTAGAAACTGCAGTACAAGCAGTACCCAATTTGCAGACAGGTTGTGTTCCCTGAGTTGATTTCCAAATTAGCTATTTGGAAATCAGAATGCATTATCCCAAGAAGCAGTGTTATAAATGATGGCCAGCTTCACAAGTGTCATCCATAAAGCCCTGGTAAACTAGCAACATAATTAAAATGACACTGTCTTTAATAACGGGCTGTTCTTTATGGGGTAAATGCCCTTCACAGGGCATAAGAAGGAAATTATTTGGCCCCAGGAACATGTGTCTCTCTCGCTCTTAGTTGTCCTCTCCTCTCTACCAGACATTTGTTGTAATCATTCATTTTCAAGATGGAAGCAGAGTAAGACAACCTGGCCCTTCTCCCCACTGTCCTCCAGAACTTGGACATTAATATAATGTAGAGTTAGTGTCTTCTGGCTTCTAGAGGATAATAAGCCAAATAAAGAGGCTCCAAGATGCATGATGCACAGGAGCACCTTCTCTGGCACAGCACTGTACATTTGTAGTTTGAGAATACCAGTATAAATGCAGAAGAGTAAATCCCAAAGGAACATTTTTATTTCCTATGCATAAGCCTAACAAAAAATGGCTGAAGTCAGAAAATGTAACCTCTGGTTTTGTTATATCACCCAAAAATTCTACCTTGTCGCACGTATTCAAAGAATATCCTTCTAAAATGATACTTTTACAAAACTTCCTAAAGCCAAATATGCATATCTGCAGTTCAATGCAGCATTTTCAAAATGTAATCCCTTGACCAGTACCATCAGCATCACATGCAAACTTGTTAGAAGGGCAAATTTTGGAAACCATCCCATACCTACTGAATAAAAACTCTGGGATTGGAACCTAGAAATCTGTTTCAACAAGCTCTCTAGGTTATTCTCACTAAAGTTTGAGAACCACTGAAATAATGATTTTAATAATTTATTTTTTAAAAAGAAATGACAAGAAACACTACCAATCTAACTGTCCCCTTCTATATATAGCATAAAACATTACTTTTACGAGATATCCAGCAAATCGACTCAAAAAAAGTGTATTCTATGCTTCTATGTGCAGGCTACTGTTTGTCTGCTAAAGAAGATTAAAAAGCAAATAGATTAAATAGTGAACAGAATGCAAATCAAAGATTTGAAACCTTATGACATTAAAGGGAGGGATGGCAACAAGGATATGCCTAATACCAGGGAGATTATTTGTAGTTTTATTAAAAATATACAAATAAAATTCTATGGGGAAAACATAAAGCAAAACACAAATAATTTTAGAGAAAGAGGTCAGATAAAAGTTTTGAGGCAACATCACAGTCAGGCCTTGAAAGATTGGTATACATTTTAACAATGACCAGTGTGGCAGGGGGAAGCCCATGGAACTGGTGGAGGGCAGTATTTCCCCAAAAAAGGGGACAACACAAATGAAAGCCAAAAGGTATGTAAGCATGGTACAAAGCTGCCTCCAAGTTGTGTCTTAAATACGTTATCGTTGTGATTACATAACTTCTCCTCAACTTCTGGGGCAGCCAGGTGAAGAATGAAGCAGCCAGAAACCCTATGTCTATTATCCCTATCATAAGCAGTTGTGCGCAGTTACCCCAGTGTGACTTACTATGTCATTCCTATACATACTATGATACCACGGACCTCATTTCAGGTACCAAGACAAATGCACAGAATTTAGAGTAGACACTGAGTAGATAAGGCAAAGAGATGAGAGGATCTTGGATGTCATACCGAGTAGACTCCCTATTTAGAAGACAATATTGTGTTTGAGGCAGAAAAAAAGGCACGATTTGCCTTGGGTTATAAAATTATTATAATACAACATGTAGATTGGTTTAGAGTGAAAACAGATGAACTCAGCCAAATCGGTTAGGATGTTATCAAATTAGGACAGACAGGAAATATTAAGAGCCCAAATTACTGAGGAGAAGAAAAAGAAAGGATAGAGTTGTAGGACAATCAGTTTTAATTCACTAATATCTGATTTCCTATGATATACAAGACACATATTGTCACTTTGGAGAAAACAAAAATTGCAAAGGTTGCCCTTCATTTTAAATAAATTAAAATCTGTTATGCAGAAGTGTAAGACCACTATAAAAATTTAATAAGTGGTAAATTCATTGTAATTAGGGAAGCATAAAGCATTATAGAGGTATAAATGAATAAAGATAACCGAAGTGAGTCTCAATCATTTTAGAAGGTTTATTTGCCAAAGATAAATATGAGTTTCCAGGAGGCAGGTCTACACCTTTCTCCAAAGATAACTGTGAGGGTTTCAATACTGAAAGGGGGCAAGAGGGCAAGATGACCGAATAGGAACAGTTCCAGTCTGCAGCTCCCAGAGAGACCAACACAGAAGGCAAGTGATTTCTACATTTCCAACTGAGGTACCCAGTTCATCTCACTGGGACTGGTTGCGCAGTGGGAGCAGCCCACAGAGGGTGAGCAGAGGCAAGGTGAGGCATTGCCTCACCCAGGAAATGCA